AATTTTTGAAATTTTCAACATTTATGATTATAATGTTTACTGTAAAATCTGTATTAAAAGCCGTGGCTTCTAATAAAATGGTACATGTACAATGCAACAGAGGGGATGCGGCTTCTATTAGAGCATCTACACATATGAGAAATGGTGAATTTTTAGGTCTAAATTGCTCAAAAAGAATGGGTGGGCTTCCATTAGGGATGCGGCTTCTAATACAGATTTTCGGTACTATTTGATTTTAAAAACTAAACAAGTCATTCTTACTTCCACTTCTACTGTATGTGTAAAATAGCCTCTTACTATGTAGCCTTTTGGGAGTTTTATTATAGTGTGAGATCTACTGTATGAATTTCTGATTTGAAAAAGAATATAGTCTACGTGTGTTGTTTATGTCATGTGTGACCCATATTACGTATCACATCTCATTGATTTATGCTGATACGCTATGCATTTCTAACCACATTGTCAGAACCATTGATAGTTTTCTAGCTACCATATTAATTGTAATTTCAGGCATCGCTATGTTTTGTTGACGTTGATAACCATGTTGTAGAAACACCAGAAGATTTGCCTGAATTTCCGTATAAATCCGAATTCATACTGGAAATATCTCAAGTATTGGATCGTTTCAACATATCCACTGATAGTGATAAGGATTTAGGTTTCCATGAACCGGAATCTAACTCCAACTCCATACAGGGTTCGTCATATGATCTTTACGGACTGCAGAATAACTTGAATGCCATCAATGCGGCTATGCAACAGGATGAAAGCTTTGACACGGAAAGTCCAAGTTCGGGGTCAGAAGTTTCCAGCCGACGTGACTCGCAGACGTCGTTAACGATCCCAAGTAAAAGCGAATTTTTGCGGACAAATGAATTTGTATCAAAAGTTGCTGCAATTGCCAAACGAACTGGTGTCATTAAGTCTATATCTGATTTTGACGATGTTGCAAAGAAGACGGAAGCTGAAAAAGAGACAAAGTTTAACAAAGGAGACGTTGATGAACTGACCTTTAACAGTGCTATACGTGAGATGTTCTGTTATCGGTTTGTTCAAATGTTTCGTAATTATGAATCGTTTGTTATCCAACCGAATCAAGATATGGATGCTTGGCTTAATGCCAGAGAACAGATGCAGAATTTTGATAAAGTGAGTATGCTTTAATAAAATAACTATTACATTAAGTACAAACTGCATCCTCCATTACATTACAAATTCATACTATGAAGACACATGTAAGCCAGTCAAATACAGTACAAGCAAACACTGTGACTTATCGAGGGTTGCGATTTATCAAGGGGTCTTGTGAACGGGGGTCGAGTTTGGTCGCCGTCACCTTTTTTAATTGACGGCCAGTAGGTTTTAAGTTGTTTCCTCCAGCACTTTAATAGCCAATTTAAATACACGATGTGATGAAACATTAGTTCTTTTACTTCAAAACTGTCAGTAAAACACAATTGAAACTGTGACTTACTGAGGCACGATTTAGCAAGGGGTCACTGTATTTTGCCTACCGGTAATAATCATCAGTAACTAAGCAAATAGTCTCCCAATATTGGCAATTATCATACATCTGTATCACCATAGGTTACAGTGTGCTGTTATTTTGCAATATTGCATGGCATGTGCATCCTACTATATTAGAAAATGCCAATTACAAATATGGTGGATAATTTGAAAACAAAGTTCATCATGGCAAAAAAGTGTCAATAATTTACACCAGTTTTATTCAGTTCCGGGCATCCTACACCAAGCAATTAGATCAGGAAGATGTATGAAAATAAGGTTATTATAAGGATACTTGCAAAGTATGCACTCAGATCGATACACAATGATTGATACACTCAGTGTACTGCCTCTGTGCAAACTTTGCAGTATCCTTGTAATATATTTCTTATTGTTATGAGAACAAATTCGCAAAAAAAAATTTAATTGGTTCACCTTCTGAAATGTGTTAAAAGCTCTTATGGAGAGAGCTGTGTTTGGAATTGTCCGTATTTTTGAACTTTATATGGAGATTTTTATTTTGACCAAAACTGCAGGTGCCAAAAGGGCAGTCACGAGTCACAGGTGGTCTTTATATGCAGGTCACTTTGTGTTGCATTCAGACTGCTCAAAGTGAGGAAGTAATTGTTATGTAGATAAGTGATGTTATTCTGGATGTAAATTTCATTGAAACTTCTCGAAGATGGTCAATTTGGGCAGGTGGTCACTAGAACAGGTTTGACTGTTATTATTACTGATATTCATATTTTTTTTTGTATTCAGGCGGCCTTTTTATCAGACCAGCCAGATGCTGCCATCCCGTTCTTATCAGCATTTATCGAAACCCAGATGTTTACAACACAGATTGACAACAAGATTGTAGCAAACTGGGAAGAAATGGATCCCAATCTCAAAATATTTGAAAGTAGGATTGATGGCTATAAAACCAGAAATACCGACCCAACTGGTAGTGTCAAGACGCCAAATTATGAACATGCTACGTCAGTTAATGACTATGGTAAGTTGACACTAGAGGGCACCATGTACAGTTCTTTGTAAATACTTTTTATGTTGATTAATTATTCACTGGATTTTAATTTCTGTGATAACTAAACTTTCCTGAATGGCAAATTTATTTCAAACCAAGTGAATATTCTTTAAATATTTGAAATAGTGAAAATAAAAGATTTTGAGGTAACAGGTGGCAAAATAACTGTCAACTTTGATGTTCTGAAGACATGTTGAACAACTAGTAATAGAGCTACATGAATGTACAGTAAGTATGCAGATATATGTTTATTTACCAAGTTCTTTTCTATTTATGTCTGACATTCAAAAATAACTTCTCAAAAAAAAATTAAAATTAAAATATAGAATAATGTGTTACAATGCAGGTCATATTTATTTTCCGATATTATTGGTAATTGTGACCACACCCCAAAATGTTGTGACAAAACATGGTAGGAATTGAGTCATATTAAATTTATATCATTCCCTGACACAACCCTACTACATGAATTATGTTAAGTCTGATAAACAGGTACCACAGATTTTTATTTATAGTAGCAAAAAATTGATGAATAAACTTCATAATATTTATCATATTTATATCATATAACAGTAATCATTAGTGTAATTGAATCTGTTTAATTATTAACATAACAAAAGATACATGTGTGACAGTAAATGGAGCAGTGTAACAGCACAAATAAGCGGCGCTTACCCTTAATTTAAATAA